TATTTCTCGATCTCCCTCTTCCATTGTTCTTTGCCATCTAAACACTGTGTTCACTTGCTCCAGTCTTTTATACCCCACTCAACTGCCCTCAGCAATACCTAATTTGCAAAACTTTACACCAGCCCTCACATGCCCTCAATGCAGGTACTGTATATAAGCTCTGTATGCAGACAATATAATCACTTTTTCAAGACCTACCCCATCCCGGTCACTAACATCAGCTCTTAGTAGGGAGGAAGAGTGTCAGTGGAGGTAAGTAAGTTTGGAAATACATTTTCAGATTAAGAAAATGATAACTTCCAAAACATACATACCTCCGCTGCCACTTATAGCTAGAATCCCATACTAAGAAGATGGAGAGCCAGTGAGAGCATAGTTCATAGTACACAAGTAAGTATGATAGGTCAGCCCCAACCACGCAGCTGAACTACTGGATTTATGAAAGAAAGAAAGCAAAACCAAAGTGGACAATCCTTCTTATCAATCTGAAGAAGTCCAAAAGGCAGCATCTCAGGCTTGGATTGACGGAATCATATATGCCATACTCCACCCAAGATCCAGAACTCATCCAGTCTGGATTGATGAACAGTCATTTTCACTCTCCAACCAAGTGGGCAAGGAGAATTCCACTTACCCATGGAATTATGGAGAGGACATGGGACACTGTTCCACCAAGGCCCTAAGATGAGACCACATTGTGTTCAGATTTACAAGGACATAGTGGATCCCTGTTTGAACAACCTAAAACCTGACAGTGTTCATAAAAGGGTCCAAGCACACCCCCACCTGATAGCTAAGCATCAAATCTGAACCAGTTTTACGAGTAGGCTCCCACGTAAGTTAGTTCTGCTCCTACTGACATCTGGAAAAAACTTCCATGGACCAGGGTCACAACTTTGCTCCTTCTCAGAGAGTGGAGAAAACAATCCGAAAGAAAATCCTCTGTCCACCACCCCAGCGACTGGAAACTGGGTGTGTGGTAAAGGCTCCACTAGTAGAATTTTTGGGGGGGACATGCTGCACGGTACTACTGATGATATGTAGCCCATTTCCACTGATAGATTGCCATAGTAGGTCGACAGAGGGATTTAGTCAAATGAACGGAAACTTTAGAAATTAAACCTCTATGTCGAGCAAAGGACTGCATAACTTCCATACATGAAGCTTGAGTCGACGAACATCCTGGTGTTGAATATTGGACTGAGGTTGTCTCAACAAGGATGGGCAAAGAGGTAGTGATGGACATTTCTGGAGAAACCAAAGAAGAGGAAACCATGTCTGAGTCATGATAGTCATGTTGTTCCTGTCTAGCCACCACTTGAGATCTGCAAAATTGTTCTCAAGCAAAGAGACTGTTTGATCCAAAGGATCAATATGCACGAGCCACTGGTCACAAAGTGACCATTGAAGGGATCTCATATGGGCCCGACCCAATGTCATGAGGGATTTTAGGGAAGGCTAAATCCCCAAAACAGACAGAATCAACCACCCAGTGGGAGAAGGTGATGTAAACAAACACCTGACAATCCCTTCCATATTGTGAAGTCTGAAGAAAGATGATTGAGCCCAACTCAAATGTGTTCAAAAACACTCCAAAATGGACTAGGTATTGAGTTGGTGAGAGAATGGATTTTTCCAACCTGATAAGAAGAATCTGGGTATGTAGTTCGGCAACATGATGGTTGGTACCAAAAGAAGCCAATCATCCATATAGTGATGTGTGCACAGACCCAGAAAATGGATATGCTGCACAAAGGCTCATACTAATCAGCAGAAAACATATGTTGCTGAAGCAAGTCCAAACAGGACAGCTCGGAACTGCAACACCTATTCCTCGTGCACAAAACGTAGAAATCGACAAAAAGACTCTGCAATGGGGATGTGAAGGGTAGACATCTGTAATATGAACTTGGTCATCCAAAGACCTGGTGTGAAGTGCCACTGAAGTTGAAGAAAAGATTTCATGGTAAAACGAGGAGGCTGTAGGAAATGTTTTAGTCAAGACACCAGAAATAGACGAGAATAGAATCCTGGATGAATGGGGTCAACCTTCTCGATGGCTCATTTGTTGAACAACTCCTAAATGGCCCAGGAATGAAGGTCTGCATGTCTGAGGTCTTACGTAGAACAAACTTTAGCAACATACATGTGAATGAGATAACTCAGTTTACATTTTCTTGAAAACTAACATATATTAGAGAAAACACACTGTAATTAAAGAATCAATGACGTAAGCTTCACCAGATAGCTTATACACAATTATTATTTATATTACAATATGCTGTCAGATTTAATGATAGAATATTGTCAACAAGTTAATCAACATTAGGATATCACGGAGCTGTTAATCATGTGAAGATGATCATGTAATAATCAAGAAGTTGACTAATATCTAGATTGGTACATTAGTTATAACTACAAGTATTCAGTAATAAAGGTTCAGAGAGATAACTGTAAAGCAAGTGATGATAAGAGACAATAGTTCATCCCATATGCACACTGTGAGCCTTGGAAAAGAAAACAACCAAAGAAACTTGCTGCTTATTTAAAAGAACCTTCCACCTGAAAGTCATAATTCTATCAAGCATTGGTAGTTGCCTTATCCAAATAAGTCCTATCAAAAATAAAGTTGGAAGTTACCATTACTGAAGGAAATACTCTATATCTCATGATATGTGGGTGATTGACATTGAAGAAAAGTGTATATTGGGAACCGAGTTCATGCTGAGACATGGATTTAAGGTTAGGTAGCTTCAAATAGCTTCATAATCTACAATCAGGAAATCCTTAGGTACTACATAGCAATTAGTACACCAGAGGTTGAACTTCTAGTGACAAGAAGGATGGTGGTCATTTTACCCCCAAGAAGTGAAATATTCAAACCAGGGGTTTAGTAATAAGTCTACATCTAGTGACTGGGGCATAATGGAACCAAACTCTACAGCATGTCATGAAGGATTAATGGTTAGAAGAACTCTCATGGATCTGAAGAATAAATATGTCAGCCATGACTTCTCATGGGAAGGACTTAAATTAGTTTGCAATAATATGAAAAGTTGCTACAATGTTAATGCTGATAATACCAGATTTCATCAAGGTTACATAGTAAGGCTAAACAATTCTCATCACATGAAGGGACAAACTCCAAAGCAGGTGGATGGAAGGGCCATATGTTGTATTAAAAAGAATCAATGCTGTGGTTTACAGAATCCAGTGGAACAAACAACCCAAGTGAAAGGTCATCCACTGTGATTTTCTTTGGATGTACATTAGTGAGAGGATAGCCAACTAGGTAATGCCAGAAAAGAAACTGTCAGAGAAAATTCAAACTTTTGATGATCCCAATGTTTCTGTCAGGATCTATTCCAGGGGATCAAAATAAACAGAGCCACCAGTGAAATCACTGATCACCTGTCTAGGAAGAATCCTCCTCATAGCAACAAGACAGCAATTGATAATAAGGGACATGATGTCATCCCCACTACTTGCTCCGAGCTTTGGAAGAGAAAATCATCAGTAAGACTAGTGTAGTGTTTTATTTTTGTATCAATTCTATTCAAGGGACTTTACAATACAGGAATAGGGCAGTGTTGTAAGCTATATTCTTAATGTCTTATCTAAATGTTTGCTAGAGGGAGCTGCTAATTGTGATAATGAGGTAATAATTGAGAAATTGTGACTAGATTGGTAAATTAGTTATAATTACAAGTAAAGAGAAATGAAGGACCAGTTAGTTCATTGATTAAGAATTCAGTGAAGTATTGAGAGGGAAGGAATTGAGTAAAAATTATTCAGAACAGTTAGTGCTTCTGTTAAGCTAATCAGTAAGTTAGTTAGGTTTGTTATCAATTAAAGAAATTTCTGTTAAACATTATTAGTATTTTAGACTTAGAGTAGTTTCAAAGTTTATGTTGAAAAGTTTGATTGCAAACAAAGACCTACATCTTGTGTCATAGTGAATGGTGCCTGTAGTAGAAGAAATTACTGAAGAAATAAATTAATGCATTATTGTTATATGGACTGGGCTTGGCATTATTTTTACCAAGTAATTCAAAAGAACACACCCAAAGATATAAAATGCATTACAACAATACAAATACAAGCCAGAATAGAAACAAAGGTTTAATGGAATAGAATTCACCAAATGAAACCAGGTAAAAATATACAATAAATTCATAGTGGTCACATAGTAAACCTTTAGTTTAATCTTAGCTTAAAGCTTAAAAGAAATACAGCAACAGGAAACTATGAAAGCCATTATGAACCACACTCACACATGTTCAATATGTGTCTTTGACTTCAGTCTCTAGTGGAGACTGTGCAGAAACTATGAGGTTGTAACAAACATAAAACCATTAAAAACAAAATATAACTTAAACAAGCCAAAACATTAACTTCCACTATAAAATATGAAACAGAAAAGTGCAATACATTGGTCATAAGTTTCACAATCAATATCAAATGTTGTCCTGACCGAAGTTATTGCCTTTCCAAGCAGCTGAAATGGCTACGGTTACTGAATTTCACATACACTAGAAATGTACATATTAAAGACTAACTTTCATCAAGCAACCTACAAAAAAATGGGGCGATATTCAGGCTATGATAAATCCTACCTACCTCCAGGAATATAGTAAAGCAACAACTTGAGCAAACTACTACTGTTTTAACATTTTAGGAATCCAAACTTGAAATATTACCCCAACTGCTTCATTATAACAGTCTACATATCTGACAAAAAATTTTGGGAGCTGCAAATGTTTAATATTATTAAAATGTCCATACATGCCATTCATTTTCAATCATTCAGTTTCATTTACATATTTCTAGCATCATACTTTTGAGGTAACTTTTGACCTTTAAGAAATGATTTCAATGATTTCTCTCCAACAACAACATATATTTTTATCTTAATATATTGTAGCTTTTAATACTAGAAACTAGTTCATAAATAATTAAAAATAATCATAAGTTTTTATTTATGTGCAAGAATGACTTACAACCAGTGAAAAAATAAGTCCTAATAAAAAGAAAATGGTAAATCCTTTAACGTTTGGAGGCTTTGGTGTTGACAATGGCTCTTCTGGTATCTGAAAAATAAATAAATATTCAGAATTAAGGATTACAAGTAGTCAGTCCTAGCTAAAATTTTTTTCTAAACTATTTTGGTCTTAATATCTTTTAATCTAAACATTAGTCTTCCAAGAGGCAAAGGAAATAAATATTTTGCTTAGAAAAACCAACTATATGTTGAAGAAAATTCATAAAGCACTTCATAGAAGGCTTTCACAGTATCTATTCCTCATGGAACTGTTTTTAAATTGAAATGTAAACTAAGATCCATTAAGTATATTTTACATTTAAAAACTTTCTCAGATGTTTATCATATTTTATTCCTTTGAAATAAACAGGAAACATTTAATAAGTGATAACATTTATTTATTTATACATACATACATAAACAATGAACTTCTTATGTTTAAACAGAGAAATTCAAAAATAACTTAATGTCCATGCAATGCTTTTGATGAGATTATTCAAATTTTTATTTGTTATTTGATTAATACTTATACCTCAATGATGATGAAAATGTAGATTTATTATAGTTAATTGTGCTTCCCAGTATGCAATGTAACTACTAGTACACAAGATTCAAAGGTGGGGTCAAAACAGTGGCCAAGTGTTCAAGGTGAACAATTTTGGCATACCCCCCCCTTCCAATAATCCAAAGGTTATTTTTGCCATTTTGAGCAGCCTAGGAAACCTTATTGATAGTATATTATGATTGTATTTGCATAGTTAGAATTTCTACTTAAATAAAAATAAAATACACATTTGATTATGAAAACTAAAGAAACAAACAAATACTGTCAACCTTTTATTTGCTTCACCATCAAAAACAGTTAAAACTAAGTGCAAGTATTATAAATTGAATCAAAAATATAAGAATGCAGGTAATAAAATAAAATTAAATAATAATGTCACAAGGGAAAGACTGAAAATGGTAGTGGCATTATGAGATATGTTTTGAAATTATCCCCCTGCAATTTCAAGCATTTCAAAAGACTGGTTAGTGCCCATTACATAGTTAAGCACAAAAATACTAAAGAATGGAGATTGTTTAATTAATTCATAATTATTTAATCACTCCAGTAAGGCTTGTCATTGCTGTAGGAAGCATTTTGTTGAGTGTTTAGGCCATTGCCACATTGTTATTTCTAGAGACATATACCCCCCAGAAAAAAAGTTTTAAAATTTAATGCTATAAGATTGAATCTTGAGCCATTTTAACTACAAGTACTTCATACACACACAACATAGTATATGGAATTAAAAGAATCAAGTTTAAAATTGTAAATTGTAGCAATAAATACCAAGAAAAAGTGGTCAGGCTATGGTCACTGCTTGTACCTATGGCAATAATAACTCTTTTGGAATAAAAAACATTCTTCATCTCCAGTAATTTGGTAGTAAGGAAGAAACTTTAAAAATTTTGCTAAGCCTACCTACAACAACAGACAAAAATGAAAAAGAAACAAGCATAACAGTTAAAGTTAACATTAAAGACAGAATTTATTGAAATGACTACAATGAAGTTGTTACTTAATTGATAACAGTTTCTTTCAGTCAGTGTTAAATGTTAGACTTAAAGATTTGTTAAAATGGTGAAATTATATAAACTCATCACTGTCTGGTGTTTCACTATGATTTTACTGCTTAGAATATTTTGTCACTGTTCATTGAGTCATACATGTTTGTAAGCTCACGCCAATGCAGGAGGACACTCGTGTGTAAATATGTACTAGCCAAGAATAGTAGAAGGTTGGAACAGGTCTCTTGCAGAAAATTTTTCACTTATGGAGGAGTGTTTTGAAGTTGACTTGAGGATGGCATTGGCTAGTGATTCAACACTTCTTAACTGTTAAGGAGTGAACTAAAGAATTATCAAGCCAAAGACAACAGGCATGCTGTTACTCTTGTCCATTGATACAACAGAATCAATGAAATCTTTCAAATATACAACTATTGAATTTGATAATGATGAAACTGACAGTATGAGTGATGAAGATGGAAGTATTTTACACTTTTTACTCCAAATAAGTTGCCAGTGCCAAAAGAAAGTTTGATCACCTGGTGGTATGTGCAAGTTAAGAAAGCAAACCCCACTTCCACATTATTGAAAATCCCCACATAGAAGACATCTTTTACAATCTGAATCAAATGCCCAAACTTTCTAGCCATACGTAGCTACTGGAGAATGTTCTTAACATTGAAAATACACATATCCAATACAAAATCAATTCCCTACTCAACAAAATCTCCATGTAACCAAACAGTTGAAATAATATTTGTAACAAATGAAGATGCAACCGCTACAAATCTAGTCTTTTTATTCACCCACCATCATAATTTCATTGTATAAATATAGATCACTAATTAGGCCATATCTGGAGTATTCTGTTCAATCTTTTGCTCCTTACCTTACGAAAGACATTGAATTGTTTATAAGGGTTCAGATAAGGAGGGCTACTAAGACAGACCTGGAATGGAAAGATTGTTATGCAAGAGCGTATTACGATCTTTGAAATTGTTTTATGTTGAAAGAAGAGAATATCTTATTGAAGTGTTTAAGAGTGTTAAGGGAATTAATAGCACCAATGCATCATCTTTTTTTTCACACTTATTGGTAAAAATGATTGAACAGTGAGACACAAATATAAATTTTTTGCAGGGAAAGAGTCATCTTCAACTAAGACAGTTTTACTTTTCTAACAGGGTAGTTAATCTTTGGAATGGGTTGCCTTCAGAGTATATTCAAGGAAGTTTAAGGTTAGGGTAGAAAAATATTTGAATGACACAGGATGGATAAATTTCTTTATCAAATTTGGTTTAATGGATGGGATAGACCTAGATGGAACAATAGGTCCTTTACTGTCCTTATATTTTATATATCACAGAATGACAAAAATCAATTGGTAAGTTGGAACAATAATTGGTCAATTACTTCTAATTATATTAAGTGCAAGATAATACATTTCAGTTATCATAATTTATATCCCACATTTAGTATACATGGACACTCACTCAACAACATGACCGAAGAAAAGGATAAGTTACTCAAGCCATTAAGATACTCTGCTAGTCGTAAAACTAATATCTATTAGTATATTCATAGACATACTGATTACAAGTGAAAAGAGATAATTATCTATTTATAAAAATCATTAGTTAGGCATCACTTGGAATACTGCATGCAGTTTTGATCTCCTTATCTAAGAAAATACTGAATTACTGGAAAAAGTTCCGATGACAATGATTCTGGGGAATGAAGGATTACCTTACAGAGAAATGTTAAGGTTTCTTAAATTTATTTTCTCTTCAGAAAAGAAGGGTATGAAGTGATCTTTCTGAAGTTTACAACATCATCTGGGGAGGGGAGATGTTTGGATAAAAGCCTCCGATTCCTTTGTGGTGTATTCTGAAAATAAGAGGATGAGAGTTTTAACTTTCAAATAAATTGATTAGTTTATACAGCGAGTTGACATCACCAGTAGAGGAAGTTGGCACATTAAGGAATGCCAGGTTTTATGTGACTTGTTGGCGATAAATTTCAACAATAAACGAACAGCACACAATCCACTTGTTTTAAAATAATATATTCAAAACAAGTCAAATGTATATACAAAATTTCATTACACTTTTGATTATAACATCCAGAGCTTTAAATAAATGTCTCTTTTTCATCAAAGTCCACACAGGTGGATTCAATGACTTTAGAACACCCTTTGACAAGACAAATGATTAGTAAACAATTATGTAAGTAAACTTGCGATACAATATCACTTCTAAAAATACTAAATTTAACACACTGCTTTGTAACTGTCTAAATCATAAATCTTGTATTAAATTAAAATGAAACATTTGTGTATATCTAAAAAGGAAGTTTTAAGAGGGCATTCAATGATTTCCTTAAAAATAAAGGGTGGATTTACTTTTCTCAAGGGTAGGTGTGCAAGGACAACTTTGAAGGACCAAATGGTCCCTTGTCTTCTCTAAATTATAAGTCAACATTATTTCCTACACTGAAAATGTATTTCCAATATATTCTTATCTCCTCTCACGTATCAGCTTTTCTCAACTTGTACCAACCTCTATATGTCCAAATATTTTCTCACAACTAGCCTTACTATTCACACCTATCCTCACATGAGAACATGTAAGGCAGCTGTATGATAGCATGTAACAACCCTCCACCAATAGGAATGAGACACAACTCCTAGCACAGCTGACCCCCTCTATGCAGCTTAGATCAACTTCACTTTCAGATTGAGTAACATAAAAAAGAAAAAGACACCAAAAGTGGGAAGGAAGGGTGGGAAGTGTGAGAAGTAAGAATCTGTCAAAAAAAAAATTACACATTTTCAGTGTAGGAAAATGTTAACTTCCAACATGATATCTTACCTCTTCTCACATAACAGCTAGCATCCAACACTGACCTGGTGGAGGAACTAGTGTAACATTACCTAGATGAGTCCCCTTCAGAAAGTGCCTGAAGAAAGCCCATGGGGTGTGTGAATAGAGTATGTAAGAGACACCCGTAGGAGACCACACCACTTCTGATCCTGGTATACTCTTCACCTGTGAAACTGACGTGTCACAATAAGCGAGGAATCACAGGAGAAACCCCATAATTTAAATGAAGGGACCCATGGTGTAGAGTGGCTAGGGCACAGCAGACCTTGATGGGGGAGTTCTAAATCAACCAACACCAACAGTACCATGATAGGAACACCCAGCCCATGGTAGGAAGGACCTCTATTATTAACCTCAGACACAGGAACTGGAAGGGAAGAAGAACCTGCATTATCATGTGTGTATGTCCAACACAACCAACATCAGTATCCCCCAGGAACCAACACCTGAACGATGGCAGGAAGGTGGACAGTAATGTGGCAGTTCAACTTCAGTCCAGAACCAGGTAGCATTGGGAATGAATCATCCAATCTGCAATAGGAGGAGGATGCCTGGACCACTTACATGTGAGGACTTGTGTGGCTGGTTCATCACCAACCAACACCAGTAACCCCTG